TTCACTACACCGTATGATTTATCGAGAATACACAACACCTAAACTGTCATCTGGGGGAGCCCTTTCGTCGAACACACTAGGCAGAACTAGTAAACAAAATGTTTTCTTGTACTTTCTTCTCTTGCTTCGCGTGCTACATGGAATGTGGCGACTTGAACTTCCGCACATTTGTGCAAAGTTCTATGTCGAAAACAGACAGACAGTAAACAAAATGTACAATGAGTCAAATAAAGATTGAATAAATTTGAGAGATTAATCACTTCTTCATGGTATCAATCATAGAAAATGCAGTCAATATCAAACAGAAGGGAAGTTCGAATAAGAGACGCATGGGGAAATCTGAAATACTGCCTGAATGAGTTGTTTCTCTTCTCGTATGCATCCACCCACACCTCACCAGGACAAATGGCCACAGAGTAAGTGGACCCACAAACAGTTCTCTCACAAAGTGTTTCCATTGACAAACCTCCATCAAAATCAATCAAAACATATTCTAACTCACTCTTAAGAGCAAACATTCATGAAAGTCTCCTCATGTGTAATCAACTGTAATTTAACAGCCATCCAAAGCATAAATAAGTCCAATATACACTTGAAATCTCAGTATATACTCCATTAGTTTTCATCGTATAACCATCAACTATGCCTGTTTAAGTCATTGTTCCTACACAGGTACATACATATTGAGGAACATTAGTACAACAGACATGCACACATACACACTAATATAAGGTCATATTTCCACGTGACTGAATACATGAAGAATGGTGTTATACATGATGTTGACAATCACACATCCAAATTTCATTCTTCCAGAAGTTGAAGTCAAAACCAGTTGATTCTGTCTAATACGACAGTTACCACTGTTTAATGATAATATTTACACTGATAGAACTATAGTACACGTAAACATCAGCCTAATTCTACTAAACTATTATTTTCATTCATCTATGAATGTATAGTGAAACAAATGTGAATAGGTTGTGTCAAATTATCCTGATCATCATTCAGATCACGTGAATATAAATAGAGAATTACAAACACTTTTCCACTATCAAAACCTGATAGTAAATAAGAAACCTGATAGTAAATAACGGCTGGCTAACTCCAATTCACCACAAATACCACCACCTGTTCGTCGGTGGCACAGTGGTTAGGACTCTCGACGACCATGCACATGGTCCGGGTTCGAGCCCACGCCGGCGCACACTGATATCTATGGTCGGCCTGCAAAATTTGGGCTACCGATATCCATGCTGAAAATTCCATACTTGTACCAAAAATACAGTGTGGAATCAAGCTGTAAATCAAAAATCAAAAATAATGTCTAGATGAATAACTCAACAACACGCTTACACACACACTAACACACAAAGGATGACTATGTTGAGACTGCACCATGAATCTCGATTTGAGTCGAATCAATCGTTGAATTAGTGACAACCGAGCAAGTGACTGTCTACATTATTCACTTTATATTCGTGGTATTTCTCCAGAGATATACTTATCCATTCCCAGTGGAGCCCTTACTAGTATCGGGTCTTAACAATTACTGCCATCTAACCAATTCACTGTACAGACGTCTAAAAGAGAACTGAAACTTGAACAAGTGGATAACAGAACAGCAGGTACTAGAGATATCAGTCAACTGACATTTAGAAATAATATTTATCATAGGTATTTTATTCGAATCCACAGACGCTGGGAATTTATAATGTGATTTGAAGTGTGCATATTAAAAACTGAGGGTTTATTTGGGACTGACATCAGACTTTCCGATAGGGATTATAGAGTGGTTGAGTGGACTGCCTAAGCATCGTTGTTGAAAGATCATGATGACTATAACTTGATATTCGGATGTGATAATTGCAAATTATTTTGAGTCAGAAACACCTGCAGACAATACAGGTCGCTGGTTCACAATGTACTCCTTTCTGCTGATATGAGAACTCTCAATTAGACCTTAAGTCTAACTAATGGCATCTGTCAGTGGTGTTAACAGAGATGAATATCCACTTTATTTCGAAGTTTGACTATTCTAGTTCATGAGTTATCTTGAGACACTAACAACTTATGCAATAAGTTGACTGATTTGATATCCTCCATCGTGGCTTTAGTTTTCACGTCTGCCTTCCATAATTCTGCTACACAAACACCAAACTACTAAAATGAATCCCTCTAAAATAATCTCAGCGGCTATACGTCATCTTTTGAACTCATCTGTTACTCTATAGTTTTATTAGTGCAAGCGAACTAATTCAGTCAATCTGAAATGAATATCTTGAATATATCGAAATGTATTAGTATCACATGTGTCAGTTAGATATTCTGATAAACTATAAGGGATTACTGATAAACTAAGGACTTTATGAAGAAAAATAGACCGAATTAAAATTTTCTGCTCAAATGTATTCCCGTTTACTGGCATAATTCAAAACAATATACAAACAGATAAATCAGTACAAACACAAATTATAGTGCAATTCACACCTGACAAAAAACAAAGTATGACTGAATATAATTCAAGAATCATGATTTTCGTTTTACTCCACTAAAAAGCTTATACACATATGTATTCTTGTATGTTTTCAATGTCCTATTGATGTTGTCCATTGACAATTTAGTAGTGGTCAAATTCAAGGGACTTAACCGTTTGAAACCTGGCCATACCATTTTACTATGCATAGTCAGTGGGAAAATAGAGGTATTGAAGCTACATATCCCACCTATTATATATACATTTAATTTAACTCCACTGATATATATGAGACCGCTAAGTGAAACCGTTTGGCTTTCTTTAAAGTTCAAAAAGTTTGGATGCTGTGGACCACATCTACTGTAACTGACTTAATCAGTGTACTACAGTCAAATTGCAAAATATCCATGACTTTAGTTCTTAATAGAACAGGTTAAGCTCAAGGTATTGCCAAATAATGTTTTGAAAATTATTATGTTTTAATTAAATATACGCATTTTGAGGGCAGCTTGCTGTATTAAACATATTGCTAAGACATTTGAATGTACTGGATTAATACTAAAGTAAAATTTTCATACATCTACTTCAAAGTAATCAAATAGTTCAGTATTCAGAAATATTTTATCTTGACTGTAGAGTGAAAAATTACCAACAATAGGACTCGAAGCCAACTGATATCTTCGTGAATAGTGTCTTGCTACAGTACTCGTTAATTCTTATCTATAAAAGTCTCCGTAATTACAAGGGCACGGGGCTTCATGAGGAACATAGACTAACTTCTGTCCACTGTATTTTAGACAGTAGTTTATTTTTTCAATTAGTTATTTGAGAGTCAAAATTTAAGAAACATTTTAAACAATAACCTATTCTGATAGTAAACTATGTGGCACGAAGATATAGCTCAATGAAGAGCCACAGTCCCTAAAAATGTACAGAGCATTTACAATATCAATATATGTATATGCTTTCTGGGAATGAGGTTTGAGACAATTTTACAAAACCATAAGTCTACACATGAAAGCGTAGTGTTTCTGGTAACAAAATGCATATGACTTGTATGATTATCATACAGGAATATAACATTAAAAGGATAGCATACATGAAATTATGGTGCATGCTTATATGCTTACTGTGTGGCAAAGGTTGGTATGCGAAGGTTAATCGTCTAAATAAAGTGTCACTTAATTCCATATTAGTGTGTTTATTCGATGTATCACACAGTCAAAGAAATAGTACTATTTACTGGATGACAATGTTTCGAACGAAATTTATTGTTCATAATCATGTCAATTAAAATCACATGAATTCGTAACTTCAGTTTTATAGTTTTCTTTGTCCACTCCTATTTGTCGTCGTCGGGATAGTAGAACTTTCCAGATATCTGGTTGGACAGGTGTTGAATCATTTCTATTACACGTATTCTCCTCAGTTGATTCAATAAACAAAGCTTTCGCCGTCATCAATCCCTCCGTCCATCCTGTGAAATTAGATTTCAAAACTGTCAGTCTATCTCATCCTATTGTATGGTTCTGTGTAACTGCATGTAGTGAGTGCTACAGCTGATCCATTCTCTAGATTTCTTATCTTATTCGGTCCAACCAATCTAGATTTTGCTGCTGGGTTTTTATGCTCGGCTAGTCTGACTGCTCCTGTTCTACTACTCTGACCTATGTATTTGACCTAATATTCATTCCAGCAGGGTATTTGATAAACTAAGTTGTTTTGTTTTAAAGGCTCTACAGGATCTTTTAACAAGCCGTGTGATTATAATTGATGAAATGATTATGAACAATAAATTTCGTTCAAACCATTGTCATCCAGTACGTATAATACTGTTTCACTGTGTGATACATGTAATGAACAAAGTAATATGGAATTACCCACTACCGCAGTGCCCAAGTTTTGCACATATATTAAAGTGTCACTTAATTCAATTGCTTGGTAAAAGTTTGTCAAATCATGATGGATAATTTTCTGAAGAGAGAGGTGTGCTTTTGTAAGAAATTAAAAACTACAGCAACCTGAAATATGCTTCTGAAGAACTTTTTAGTCTGAGAAACTTGATGATTTTATTTTTCTGATAAACATTTCCCGGAAGAAAATTTGGAACCTACCTCATATATCTACTCAGGTAAAAACTTACGCCTTAACATGATGCTACAGGAGAAGATACCTCTGACCAACTACACAGTGACTATCATAACACCATTATAATGGTGTGGGAAATTATAGTTTAAGAATAAGAGCAGTGTGATTATAGAATTCGACCTGTGATTTAAAACCCTTGATCCATAATTAAGTCATTGTCAGCCAACATTTAACTACTCAATAATGTAATTTTAGGAGTGCACTACATAGTACAACAGATTTATCAAGTCATTTTGATAGACAACTAACGGCAGTGTTATAAAGTATTTAGAAAATTATGTGTAGCAATAAAAATCGTGTGAGTTAAATAAATCCAATACTAGCAAGATTATGCATGAAAAAAGATCAAAATGAGTAATATAAATGAATTACTTACGGAAGCCCATGACTTACAGTTCTAATTTGCTCCACAGTGTTATCGCGCAATTTATACTATTAGCATACTTTAAAAAGTTTGAATGTCCAATGGTTTTTGTGACACTAATTAATATTTGGACTTTTAGCTCTCGCTTCTTGATTTTATATAATTAATCTTGATTTTTCTGCATACGGTAATATACCCTACCACAAATTTTGTGGCTCTGCTGAGCTCAACAAGAGCACCAACATTAGTTTATTTTGTAGTCGATGTATACCAAGTGCCTGCGAGTTGGCCGGACGATCCTCCGGTCAGACTGACAAACTTTCTAGAGTAAGTTGTGATAAGTGAGTTTGCAGAGAATGGGTAGGGGAATCGAACGAAAAGGAGGCCAAAACTTTGGTTTTAAAACCAGTATTATAGCAGTAGTGCTTGGGAACATCTGAAAAAAATGACTTTAAGTGATAAACGTACTTGTGTAAGATAATTGACCACATATTTCGAAATGTTATCACGTTGAAAGTGTATATTTTATCGTTTTTCACTTCATATATATCTCCCTGGAATATTTTATTATCTACCATGATCGTCTTCAGTATGGATTATACCTACTGGCGCTACTAGCTAGCGTATCCGAATCCTCCAAAATAGGAAATAGTATATCACAATTGTACTCCTTCAGCAGGCTCTGTATATCTATCAAGTAACGGGATAAGTACTTAATTGGAGCTCTAAGAACTCTCGACAATGTATGAATATTGGGTTTATGGTCGCGTCAAGAACCACACTTTGGTTTATTTGAAGTCATGTTGTCTCACTAAACTTATATTAGGGACGTGGAAATGTGTTGTGAACATATACCAGGAGCCCTGTGTTCATCTCTATCAATATCAAATCCTCATTAGTCAACATTTCAGTTATACCACTGACATCTAGCGTGTTCGTTTATTTTGAAAATCAAATCCTTTCTTAACATTTGTCAACGTGAGAATAGGCCGTCAGGTTATTGGCGAGGCACTTGCCGCGATTAGCTCACTTCACCTCCACGTTAATAAAAGGCGCTACAAAAGTGTGAAGCGCAATCCTGGTGATTATCATGCAAGCAGTGTCCAATAGGATAGGTGACTGTCCTCGCCAGTGACGCTTATTTTCTCGGCGATGTCTTCTATTTGTCTGCTACTTCATCCTATTCACATCCAACCAGTCTCTGCACTAACTGCTGTATTGGGTGGTGATCCGCCACTGTTGCAAGGTCAGAAGTAGGGGCTGGGCCAACACTCGGTGAACTAAGAGTCAGCATCGAACTACAGGGCATAAAAACTGAGATAAGAGGAATACTCACGCCTTAAGTACACTGCAGCGATGAAACCCGTAATATAATCACAGATGCGGTTACTAAAGGGCTTCCGTGTAACTGGAGGCAAGAGTGGTTTTGGAAATTACCTCGGAAGTTTTCTCCTCATGAGCCACTTCACAACAATGTGAAATGTTGAAGATCACCATAATTTGCGTGAAACTGACGTGAAGTCTGAGAGGGGAAGTGGTACGACTAGGAAACCTTAAAATGCATCCTACTACCAGAAACAGAAATGGAGCCTAATATCACAGACAGTGAGGTAAAAGTGAATGACTGGTTGCATAATAGATCTCTGCACAGAATTGCAGCAGTTTCAGGTACGGCGTGCCATGAAGTACACAAAGGGGGACAAAAGACAAGAAAAGGCATTCGAAAGAATAAAAAAAAGTAGAAATTTTAAGGAGAAGAAATATAAAATGTGAAAACAATAGGGTTCAATGGATACGGGATATCACTAGAAGTGAATGCGTCAACTTCACTGGAAATGACCATGAACCTTATCACTAAGAGCATCTAGTCACTGGTTGTCAGCCACGTCTTGTAAACCGTTAATAAACAGCTCTTGCTACGCTCGGGCTCACGCTGTTCCTTGAAGTTTCTCAGAAACGCTTAGTAATAACGGACGAAAAAACCAAAACGCCAATTGTTGACTGGAGGATTCCTTATTGTTACACCAACATATAAATATTGTTTCCACTAAGGTCTGTGAACAAATATTACAATAATAAATCACAATATTACTTCTGACGGTTTACTGCTGACTTCTTTCTGAACAGCGACCGATGAGACGATGACTGTCGTATTGATGCCTCCGCGAAAATTGGGGAAGTTGGTTTTGAGCAAACAACCGTGAATTGATCGTTCAATCTTCAACTGCATTGACACTGGTTCTGAAAATCCTGAGGACCACGCAATTGTCTAGCTAGACGGGATAGGAACCGTGAGGAAGGTGTTGGGGTTGACATATGCATCAGCAACCAGTTGGAATGCGCACCAACAACATACCTACCACTTACTGAACCCTTAATATCACAGTCTTCCACATAAAACATCTGTTGGACGGCATTTATCGACCCCCTCATGTGGACAAGAACATGAATAGCGATTGCTCAGGACTGTTTTGACATGCGGCACCCAGGTTATGGTTGAAATAGGGATCCATTCTTTCTCCTTGTGTGATGGCCAACTGAACAAAAGTCCGACTGAAATCTGCTGCATACCATGAAAACAGGCAGGTCAGTTGAGAACACAGGAAACGATACCACTAAGGAGAAGTCGTCCTAAATTGTGAACATTTGTTGGTTGAGGAGAGTCAAATCCCAACTCCTCCAAGTAGCAGAGCCTGATTATCTGAGGAAGCTTAAGATGGGATTATACACCACATTGTCTTTATTATATCAAAGCCGACAAACAAGATGAGAAAACTTCGGTTTGATGCAGCATGGTCCTAGGTAAATTGTAATGTATCACAGTGCATACATAGAAATGTAATTATTCTACAATAGATGAGAATTTCGTACAAAAGTCAAAAGTGCCCCGAATCTCTTGACACGCCCCAAAATGTGGAAGTTGATACGGTTATTAACTACTGACTCAAAGTAATGTTGATCAATTTTTAACATTCCATTGCACATCGGCTGAACCGCCCTGTTTCTACGTATATCTGTGATGTTCAGAATTGAGTGGCTTCCAACTGCCTGAAAGCCTCAAAATAGCTCCTCGGGTCTGGACACAGATCATTTAAATGCACTTCAATCGAAATAAATGCAAATCACTCTAACTACAGACGCCAAATCTTCAGAAATTAAATTTCTATGTCTTGAAAAGGATCCCAGCAGGATTCAAACCACCTCCTAGCGGAAAAACTGGACATAAGTGAGAAATGCTCTCGCGACACATCCAAAGCGTACGAGAATTAACACTTAGTATGCCGACAGATAGGTCAACTGAACTTTGAGGCCATAAAAATGCCAAAGCACGATAGAAAATCTAGACGTGGATAAAACTAAATTTGAAGAAGACTGACAAAACCAAGGCATTTAGAGGCTGGGATTATTTTAGAAGACTTCATTCTGGAAGCTTTGCTTTTGTGTAGCAGAATTATGGAAGGCAGAGGCGGAAACTAGAGCCACAATGGATATCAAATTGATTACCTTACTGTATAAACTGTCATTGTTGCAAGAGAACTCATGGACTGGAACAGTCAAACTCTCTGTGAACACTACTGACAGGTACCATTACTTAGACTTAAGGCTTAATTAAGAGTTCTGATGCCTGTAGAAACGAATGTGTTGTCGATCAGTTTTCTGTTTCGTCTACCAGTGTATCTGACATAAAATACTTTATAGTTATCATATTTGAATACCCCCGACGGAAACAGAAATCCTGAAGGCAATCAAGATGCTCATAGCTGGAAAAGCAGCAGGAGAAGACGAAATTTCAGCAGAAGCATTGAAGGCTGACTTAGAGACATCAGTTGACTTGATGACACCACTAGTGGAGAAGGTATGGAAGGAGGGCAGACTACCTGTGGATTGGAAGAATGGCTACGTATTTAAATTGTCAAAGAAAGTAGACTTGGGTCAGCGCAAGAACTGGCGCGGAATTATGCTTCTGTCAATCTCAAGTGAAATACTAAGCCCCATCATCCTGGAGAGAATCAAAAACGCTTCGGATGGAAAACTTCGACTGGAACAGGCTGGATTCAGGAGGAACAAGTCATCGTTTAACAGAGCTTGGAACCGCAGTCAACTCTCTACCTCACTCAAATTCATCGACTTTGAAAAGGCCTTCAGCAAACAGCGTCGATCGAGAGGTGATTTGAAAACTAATTCGCTACCACACGGTGCAACCAACGACTATACATCTCACCCAACAGTTGTACGATAATGCTGCTTGCCAAGTAATCAACAATAGGAAATTCATGGAATCCTTCGGAGAAGTGAAGACGGAAGTAAGATAGGACTGACTGGCTTCCTCCTATCTCCGATGATTTTCCTGATTGCGGTAGACTAGGTATTGCGACAGACAGCGGGCCGGACAACGAGGAAACAGACATAAAATGGACCCAGACAAAAGACTTGGAGCATCTGGATTTCGCCGATGATATATGTCCGATTTACGACAAACTAGAAGATGTGCAAGTGAGGAGCAACAACCCTTAGAGGTTAATGGTATAGACGTTCGCAAACAGTACTGGGTATGTTATTACAAGATCTTATACCAACAACTTCTAGCTTATTTTATTCTCGCGTACCAAAGGCGAAGCAAAAGACTACAATCGGTTGTCCAAATTACGATATATATTTCGAAATCAAATCGCGGATTGAAGCGGAGGCTAAGCTGGTTAGTTATCGTACACGACAGTGACACGAAGGAGTACCAAATGGAGGGGATGCTTGACCGAAAGCCGTGGGCTAAACAAGTCGATTTAAACTCTAAGGGCCAGCATCCAGTGTTCACTGATGATTCTTATGGTCGATAATTTTGGGGAATCTTTTACCGCTACAGCTCACTCCCCCCTAGTGGGGTTGTGAGGACCCTAAGACAGAACCAGCCGGAAGTAAGAAAACTCTATGGTTCCCTTTCGGGTGAAAAAATTCTTCCGAGCGGCTTGGTGGCGTGCCTACTGGTCTGTCTGCTTATGCTAATAGGGTGTTTGTACATCGATTCCTTGATGTTGTT